GAGAAAGAGAAGGGGGAATTCCAAGGAAAGTTTCACAAATATGAACAAAGACAGAAAGGTGAAGGACTGCATTGGGAGCAAGATGATTCAGGCTAATCCCAAAATAGCTGAGAAATTGATGAAGGAAGGCGGAAGCAGGAAGGCAAAGTCCAGCACGGATGAAGGAGACGAAAAGAACGATCTCACCAGGACCTGGAGCAGGGACCCGATGCTCGCCTGGACCTCTCCATTCAGCAATGTCCTTGCTCTGGATCAAACCATCACGGACAAGCTCCTGAAGCTAGTCTTCAGTTGTCATCGGAGCAGGCCAAGCCTTCTGGGCAGCCCTCATGGCCACGAACTCTTGGTTCTCAATCATGGAAAGTGATGACTCCTCGTCCACGAAGGCTGCCTGAGACTTGCTCGTGGTTTTCTTCCTACCCATGTACTAGCGGAAGCAAAAAGGCACTAGGGAAAGACAAGACTAAGGCGGCGGCGCTTAGGTGACGGCGACAATGGCGACGATGGATTTCTGAAAGCTAGGGTTTCAAGGCAAAAGCATAACAATAAAGAAGAAGAAGATGAAAGGCCTTTAAATAGAATTTACAGCAGTAAAACGTGGCCCACTGGGCCCGTTAAAACATGGTGTGGGAACGCAACGGTCCATTTACTGACACAGCTAAAATGACGGAAGGCACAAATCCACACAACGGTACAATTCAACGAGCAGATTTCAGACTTATCCATCCAGCACCACGGCGGAGTTATCAGATTACTACAAGAACAACCCGTCAACCATGAAGAAACAAAGGGCTACCTCACAAGGAACATAAGAACCCGGTTCTTACGGAAAGAACTCGAGAATCTCATGAACAACCAAGACTACAACAGAAAAATGAATGACAACTCAGAAGACAAGATTCTTTCCATTACAAGTGACTTCAAAAATAGAAGATTACAAATCTTACAAGACCCAACAAACTCGGTACTACGACAATCAAGGTAGCAAAGAGGAACCCGGACACAGCTAGGCTCTGAAACGACTACGTGCTCCAAATTGCTACTCGGTAGAACAAACCGCACTCGGCTACACTATTTTCTTCAAAGGACGGACGCACCACATCCAAGGCGGAGATCAGTGAAACAATGGGACAGCATGGACCAAAGGAGGTCTGCAGGCATCTGTCTACCCAAGCCCGACGTGATGCAGGATCAGGTGTTGATCTGCACCGGACAGTCGCAGGGCGGGCAAGGAAGATCAACCCAGAACTGTTGGATGAAGGAACGCATCCCACATCACAAGACTTCCTCCAACTACCACCATATACTTCCAAGTACAATGCCGCTGCGGGATTAGTCTACCTCTAATCCCTATCACAAGACTTCCTCCAGCTACGACAAGATGCACAGGAACTACAAAATATGCTCGGGGGCTGCTCTACTTCACAAACTACCATATTAATGACTACGAAGGATTCAGAACAAGCAACAAAATATTCAATGAATGAAAACAACACTCCAGGAGGGTATTTATAGATCGAAGGAGCGGCACACATGGACTAGGAGCACCAACGAAACAAGCCTAACAAAGGACATAGTGAAAAGACATGACTCAATAATGGAAGACTCAGGCGAGAAGGAACAGTACTCGAAGACGAGCATATTCGGAAGAATATGCCAACGCTGTATAACCCGTGAACAGGCAGCATTTACACTCAACCACCACCATACAACCACACCTGATAAACAGCAGACTATCAGAGAATACGCCAAGACAATGCATCCGAGTTCTTTTTGAATCAAAGAACCCGGATAAATGCTCAGAGGCTGCAACAGGGGAAGATTTTAGTTCCTTGAACAAATCAGACTCAAGACCCTCCAACTCTTTGTTCCAAACAGCAAGAGGCTCAGGGGCTACACTCAGTGAGTGCATTTTTTCTTCAAAAAAAGCGCACATCACTCGAAAGGCTTCTTCAAGACAGCAATTTTCAAGCAACATAAGATTCAAGACCCTCCAGCTCCTTGTTCCAAATAGCAAGAGGCTCGAGGGCTACACTCAGTGAGTGCACTTTTTTCTTTGAAAAAGCGCACATCACCAAGAAGACTTCTTCAAGACAAAACTACTTCAAGGACCCATGACAAAAAGAAGCCGGACCGAGCTATATCCGAGTTCTTTTTGATAAAGAACCCGGGTACATGCTCGGGAATATTTCAACGAAGGATCAGAGCGATTTCAAGACAAGACCCTCCCGCTCCTTATACCAAATAGCAAGAGACTCGGGGGCTACACCCAAAGGGGAGTACTTTTTTCTTCAAAAAGGTACACACCACGCGAAGATCTCACAAAGCGCTACACGGTTTCGCTCAAGAAAGCACTCGGACGACGCTTGTTCCTGCTCGGCAAGACCTGAAAGAACAAGACGAGGCTTCCAGAGCTCAACCATGAAGTGCTCGGGGGCTTGTCGGTGCGGGACCCACAGGATACCCCGCAAGGGAGAGAGAAGATCTAGTCTAATTAGGATTCTCCCCATGTAATCTTAGTATTAGTATTATTCTGTAATCCTATTAGGAACTCTCATTGTAAACCGACTAGGATTCTGACCTTCTGACTATAAAAAGGAGGGCAGGGTTCCTAGATCAGGACTTCTACAACACAACAACACACAATCAATCCAACGCAAAGGCTAAGGCCGACTGGACGTATGGCTATTACTTGATCAACGATCGAGGGCCCGAACCAAGATAAATCGACTGTCTCTTGCGTTCACCGTCGAGTTCCGCATACGCTGAAGCTCGAACATACTGTCCCAGGTAACCCCGTGACAGGCTATCGGTGGTAAAACATCGACAGTACCCTCATCTGACGACACTTCCTTGTACCGTGGAGCTTCACACTTGGGGCACTTGTCCAAGTCTTTGTATTTTTCTCCACGGTACAATATGCAATCATTGGAACACGCGTGGATTTTTTAACCTCGAGGCTGATGGGGTAGATCATTTGCTTGGCCAAGTATGTCTTTTCTGGCAACTTATTTTTTTGAGAGCATTTTCCTTATTATACCTAACAACTGATCGAAGCCTTTATCGCTCAATCCGTTTGTCGATTTGAACTCTAACAGCACGATGTCGGCTTCCAGTTTGCTCATTGGACAATTCCTATACAATGGTGTTTTGCCATCTTGTCTTATTTTCTCTAATTTTCTCAGCTATCTTTCACTAAGACATCCGGTCTCTATATTACGTAGCAGCTGAGAAATGCCATCGTTATCCTCGGTGTCGTCAGCTAGCATGTTCCTAAACACATTATTAACTGTGGCCATAGGTTCCGTGTTGACACCGGGTTCCTCGTTAGCATCGTGGATGGCTATGTTAGGCATATCCACATCATCATCGTTTTTCTACAGAACATTCACACCAACCTCGCCATGCATAGTTCATATCGTTTAGTTTGGCATTAACCCCCTGGTAATCAAGTGCGATCGTATAGACTCAATTGGACGAAAGTTCCTATGATTCTTGCAATCTTTGCATGGGCAGAAGACATGGTTTCCATTCCCAGCATGGGCTTTGGCATCGGTGATAAACTGGCTGACGCCATACATGTACCGCTTGTCCGTTCGGGACAGATGTATCCACTTTCGATCCATCTCTGCACAAAAAAATACTAAGACAGTAATTACAAAGAATTAATAAGAAATCGAGTTTCATGACCAACAATTATAGCTCGAAAGTACCATTTTTGGAAAACATTATTGTATACTAATTATTTAAAAATTGAAATTGGTAGCCCCGACCCTGTAAATTAAAAATCATAGTAAAAAAATAATTATTGCACAATATTGAAGAACAACTATTATACTCTACTTCTAAGAACTAATTATAGCATCATATACTAAAAATGATGATCTTGACCACCATGGAATAATTAGTTAGGAATTTAAATGTGTTCATAGACACCAACCTTTTGGATGATGGATTCACCACAATTTGAGCCTTGCACAAATGTCCAATTGGAAAAGTGCTCTCTAAAATGGAAAAAGAACTAGAATGAGCATCAAGCAATGTAGCCATCAAAACGAAGCTAATTAAGCAACAAAATCAAAGGAGTGGATGTTTGTTACTAACCTTAAAGCAAAAAGATCAAGCTATTCTTCAAAATCCAAGCACTAGCTTCATGGTGAAGAGTAGCCGCAACAATGGAGGAAAGGGTCCAAACGCGCGCCTCTGTTCTCGGGATGGAAGAGAGGAGGAAGGAGAGGACGGCTGCAGCCTTTTTGTGTTGTAGGCTTATCACCGTCGGTTCTTGGCTAGAACCAACAGTGATAGTGCCCAATCACTGTCGGCTCTTGGCTTAAACTGACAGTGATGAGTGCCCGCCAAAACACTGCCAGTTTAAGCCACAAACCGGCAGTGATCTGGTCCTTCACTACCGGTTTTAGCCCAGCACCAATCATTTTTTTTATTTTCAAGCTCATAACCGACAATAAAGGTACATCACTGCCGGTTCTCATAAATCCGACAGTGATGAGGCCGGCAGTGATGTGCAAATCTAGCGTAGTTAGGACATGGATTGGAAATCCTCTCTTCTTTCAGCCCTTGCAGCTTCTTAGAGGAAGGGGCCTTATCTTCATCTATCAGCCGGTAGAAACGATTTTCACCAAATTTTGGTGAATTTCGGCCGAAATTCTGAACTATGGGCAGCACAATATATTGCATAACTGCGAAACGACATACCGGCCGTGTAAATGCGTGCGGGCCATATACTTTGTTAATTAGTCAGTAATATAACAGTAAGATAACTATTTTTACAGTTACATGATCAGATGAATTATGAAATGTGAATAGCTGTGATTCCACAGAACGGCACGTACCTAAGGAACGGGCCAGGTCTGTGGGACGTCGGCGACCACTCCTTCCACCACATATTCGACGGGTACGCCACACTAGTACGCATCTCCTTCCGGCGAGGACGCGCCATCGGCGCACATCGTCAAGTCGAGTCGGACGGGTACAAAGCTGCCATGGCGCATGGTCGGCCTGTCCACCGGGAGTTCTCCCAACTGTGTCCCTCCGAGCCCGGGAGCCTGCTCGACAGCGTGCGCAACGTCGTCGGCCTCGGAAGTGGCACTTTGCTCTCCGACGACGCCAACATCTCCGTGCTGCCGCTCGGTGACGGCCGGGTGATGTGCCTCACGGAGACCACCAAGAGCTCCGTTCTGATAGACACGGAGACGCTCGATACCATCGGCAAGTTCCATTACACGGACCGGCTAAGGGGCTTGCTACAGACCACGCACCCCCGGTTGTGACAGGGACCAAGTTGTTGACGCTGCTCCCGGACATCTTCCGGCGTGGCCATCGTGTCGTCAGGATGGCAGCCGGGAGCAACGAGAGGAAAGTGATCGGGAGAGTGCATTGCCGGGGAGGGCACGCACCGGGATGGGTGCATTCGTTCGCTGTCACGGAGAACTACATCGTCGTGCCGGAGATGCCCCTCCGATACTCTGTCGCTGGCGTTCTCAAGTCTCAGCTGACACCTTGGTATCTCTTCGACTGGCTGCTGGAGTCTGGGAGCTACATGCACGTCATATGCAGGTTCACTGGAAAGACTGTAAGCACTATTAACATCACCATTCCGTATTTACTAATGTTGATCTTTCCTGGATGATGTTCTTGATGTTTACATGTACCTCTTAGGTGGCGAGCGTGGAGATTCCTCCGTTCATGGCATTACACTTCATTAACGCATACGAACAAGGAGATGCGATCATTGCTGACTGCTGCGAGTACTATGATGATCCTTCTGTCATCAAGGCACTTGCACTGCATAGACTAAGATCTCCCGGAATGAACAAGGATGCATTCCCTGATGCTAGGTATGCATGTGCAGCCTGAGCTACAAGAATTTATTATTTGACAAGTAATTTTTATATCCGGTATGCATGTGCAGGGTTGCCCGATTCAGGATACCACAGGATGGAAATAGACCCCCCATGGGCGAGCTGGAGACTGTGCTGGACCCTGTGGTGCATAGCTGGGGAGTGGAGATGCCTTCCACCAATCCGGCTTACCAGGGTAAGGAATACCGTTATGTGTATGCCTGTGGCGCGCGAAGGCCATGCAATTTCTTGAACTCCCTCACCAAGATCGACCTTGTGGAGAAAGAGGCCAAGAACTGGCAGGAGCTGGGCTCTGTGCCATCGGAGCCCTTTTTTGTGGCGAGGCCAGGGGGGCTGATGAAGATGACGGTAAGTATTATTGCTGAAATAGTTTCTTGGGGTCATGATTTGTGATTCATTTGGACCATAAGAATGTTTGGAGGGGTTGTGATCTCCAATTCTCCATCGTGAGCACCATGGAAGGTGATGGGTATGCGCTACTGCTGGACGCCGTGACTTTTGAAGAAATTGCTCGAGTAAGGCTCCCCTACGGCCTACCATACGGCTTCCACGGCTGCTGGATTCCAGAGAATGTATGAGAACGCCGTATTGCCCCTCAGTTCAATACTGAAGCATGACCTATCAATTACTCCAGTACATCGATATGTATTCACATACAAATGCAGAAATCCAATTGGTAGCTATGATTTTACTATCCCACATCACCATGGTGTTGACAACCAAATTTATCTAGAGTACGTAACAGACTCTGCTATCATATTTGATATTTCTATCACCGAGACGGTCAGAAAGCATACTTCGATCATCTCGTTTCGAGCCCGGACAAAGAAAACAACTTCTCGAGGGCTGACCCAATCGGGATTTTCAAACTTCCTCAAATGAAAAAAGGATTGCACAATTGCATTCATCTCGTCGAGGTGATCCAAAAAACATATATGGATCGTTTTGTTTGGAGTCCAGATTAATTAATGATGATTTTCGAAAGATTTTCTATCTCGACCTGTACAAACCAGCCAGGACGGGTTTTTTTTTTTAGAATTACACACTATAATACAGACGCCCACGACACACACGCACACTCACCCCTATGAACACACGTATGCAAAACCTACCCCTATGAGCATCTCCGAAGGACTGAGCCGGCAGATCTCAAGATTCACAATGTCACCACTGGCGCCTCGCTGTCGACGGGGACGTCGCCTACCACTGAAAACATAATGTCGTTAAATCATGGAATAAATCCAGGAAAATGCGAACACCCGTACCAAGCCGAGGACTTGAACCCTGGTGGACAGGTTCCACCATAAGGAACCCAACCAACTGATCTATGATCAATTCGCCGGCCAGACCGGTTTTGATGGGATAGAAATGGATCTAAATTGTATTTGGACGTGTTTTGCAAGGATAGTTTTTGATTTCTTATGGGAAAGACCACCCCAACCTTATTAATTATAAATACAAGGGGCACGGCTAATTCAAGAGCCCAACACACACAATCAGTCAAAAAGCAATCTACTTCTATCTCTCATTTGTCCTAATCTCTTCCAATCTCATATTGTTCGTTTGATTCGATGACCAAGGACGGTGCCTTATACTTGGTGGCCAACCTAGGCCAATCCGGCGACATCCTTACCCCGACAGGGTCCCTCCCGGACGAGAGCTTCGATGGTTATCCTCACGTAAACACGATTGGTTATCCTTTGGTGGTTTGCTCATAAATGTCGTCATTCTTCACCATGTAATTGTGATCTTCACCACCCCAGGGCGTTCTCGGACGAAACCTGAGAAAATCGGTTAGGTCGATTCCCAAAACTAGCTAGGCTGGTTTTGGCAGAGTCGTGCTGCCTCAGTCAGTTTGCAACCCATGCGATTTAGCACTTATATATGTTGTGTGACCAATCTTTGTGTCAACACACTTTTTTGTGATTCCACTGGGGACGATTGCTTTGGCTCTACCTTTGTAGCTGAATCTCTCTGCCCTAGCCATATTCTTAATTGATTTGTCTTCTTGTGCTCGCCATCACCGTTGCAAGTAGCCTAAAAGGCCGATTGCATCTGGTTTTGGCCCCTTTTGATATTGCTTGCTGGTGTGCAATGTGTTTCTATTGTAAAAATCAGCAAGGTGGTCGAATTCTTGATCATGGAGTACCAACATGCTGCATCGCAATATTGCTACAACTACCTTGAGGTATGGCTTGCAAATACTTCATATGATTTTAATTCTTATTTTGCAAGTTCCATGAATTCTCATGTTGGTGTTGCCGGTCACAATGATAGTATATGTGGCAGAACCTCCTAAGAAAATCAGGCCCATGTGCACCTATCGATGTCTCAACAGACCTTAGATAGCGTACACAAGTTCCCAACAACTTAACAGGTCTGTCGGGTGTCCTCGGGAAACCCGAATCATCCACGAATCTTTTCCAAACAGGATCCCAATCACAGTCATTGCAGATTACAACAGTTTTCAATATACATACCAGAGATTATAAAGCGGAAGACTTAAGTTTTAATATTACAAACCAGTTGTTTCAAACTTACAAAACCATAAGTGTCATACAACCATAGTAGCGGGATAATATTACATTAACATTATTTATTTCATACAAACTAGTGCCTTGTCCAAAGGCCATTCATCATTCCTCATCGTCATCGACTTCAAACACTAACATGCAACAGGGACCAAAACAAGCCTGCGCATGCGACTCACCTGCAACAAGGGTTAACAAACCCTGAGTACAAAAGTACTCAACAAGACTGACCCGACGAAAAAGGGGCAAAGGTCTTAGGAATGCAGGTGTTGGGTCAAGGTAAGGATGTAGCAAGATTCAAAAGTTCTTTGCCAAAAGCTTACTATTCTTGATCCTATTTTTGAGTTTTACTCCTAAGTACTTTAGTTCATTATCTCCAACTAAGTGTTCATATCCCATATTCCAATCCTTCTCATTCCATTCTTTTTCTCATGTTTTAGTAATTCACCAGTCCTGCATTGCTTCTGTAATGAATCGAGTCTCCATATCCGCGGAGCACCGGCAATTCGAATTGATTCAAGTCCCAGTTGGGGATTCCTTATCACACGACATATGTAGAACTTAATCTTGCATATATCAACCTCGCTACCGGATTCTCCCATACTAAGCCGTCTCCACGCCACCCGAGAGCACAACACGCCTCAAATCCGGCCACATTCAAGCCACGAGGGTACACGCTACTCCCGCCATCTCACCACTCCCAGTGCGTGGGCATTCGTCTTAGTATCGAATTAGCCGAAGTAGGCTTATCGGAGTATGTGACCAGTACTACAAAGTGTCTCGTTCAGAAGATCCACAATGAGTGGCCTTTAAGCGACATAGTCGGCAACATTACCCAACATTCAAGATAAGCCACCCAACTAGTCTCTAGTTCATTCTATCTTCTTTCTTTCTTTCTTTGGCCAGTATGCCATCTTTGATTGTATCGAAACTTTTACTTTGAAAACCTACCATAAAGCATACTAAGCAATTCTACGCCTTTGTAAATGAAATCATCTTCAAGGATGGTAAACAATCAACAAGGTAGGCAATGCATCAAGTAGGTAACATTTGAATAAATCAACTTAATGCAATAAGTAACATAGGTGATAAACTTTTCAAAGTAAACAAGGTAATGGTTTAATGCATAAACCGGGGCTTGCCTTCGTTGACGATCTCGGGTTCCGGATCAGTACCACAATTATCGAATCCCATGACAACCGGGGATTCTTCCACAACTTGCTCAACTAGAATCGTTTCACTCTCGGATTCTACACGAAATAATAACATATGCTTCAATATGATGATAATGTAAACATGATGCTTTCATGGTACATGAAATGTAAAAACACCTCGAAAACGATTTTCCTTCACGGTACAGTTGCAAGCCAACAAAACCAACTGACAATTCTACCGTCAAGAACCACACATGTAATTTGACCAAATGGATCTTGAAACCCTACTAGTCACAAAACATGACCAAAACAAGATCCACCACTAATCAAACACTTAGGGTTAGCCTTTATTTATTTTTGAATAAATTTGGAATTAAGTCCTCCAAATGACCTCAAAAATTTATGTAAGCTTCCTTATGTCAAATTAGTGTACCAAAACAAATTTCATAATTTTTGGAATTATACAGTGGCCTACAAAAATCATGGAAATTGCATTTATTAATTAATGGACTGAATATTTGAACATTTAAAATTTATTCAAATTTCAAGTTTCAAATTTTTAAACCATAATAAAACATGTACAGAAGCTACACACAAATTTTCAGAATTTTTGGAGCTATGATTATTTTCCTACAAATTCCCAAAGTTTCAGCACTATTCAAAATCAGAAAATAATAAAACCTCACTGTTCTTCTCCTTCCTTCTCACTGACAGCTCGACCCCACTCGTCAGTGACTCATACAGGTCACGGCGGCGCTGCCATCACTGGGCGGCCCAAAATGCACCGACGGTGACGCTCCGGCGAGGCAGACCGCACCCAAGTGATCTACACACTCCTACGAACCCATCCCCCCCTTTGAATGGCAGAAGGCGCATCGGAGAAGACTCCACGCCGGCCATGGCGGCTTGAGCACGACGGCTCCCGGCGTAACCCCGGCAATGGTGTAGTAGAGTCTAAAACAAAGTGAGTATCGCATTCAGTAGCTCACCACGGTCACTTGATACGTTTGGTGAAGACGAGAGAGAGTGCTCGAACGACACGCCACGTCGAGTCGATGGTGGCGGAGCTCCGGCCGGGCTCGGGGAAGAAGACGTTGCGCCGGGCGATTTCGGCCAACCCGAGCGACATGAGCAAGCCGCAGAGAAGCGCAAGATCGAGGCGATCGCGTTGGCGTAGATGGGCACGACAGACGCGGCTCACGATGGCTACTGGCGAGCGGCGGAGCTAGTGGCGGTGGGAGGCGAGGCGAAGGGGAAAAAAGAGGACGACGGCAATGACATCGCTATTTATAGTCGGGAAGGGTTGCCCGGCGTCGACAAATAAGACGAACAGACGCCACGGCACCAGCGCGCGTGTCAATCGCGCGAGAAGCGGTATAATCTGATCGGTGGCGACATCCGCGTGGCACCGGAGGCAAGCAGAGAGGTGGCGCTCGGACGAATTTCAATTTTGAAGTATTTACAGAATTGCCACTGCGTCTATTTTTCAAATTACTCACAAATTTTCTAAAGAAGTTGAAATTATCCAAAAATAAAAGTTGCTCAACTTTTTAAACTCTACAACTTTGCTTCAAGGAACATTTTCAAATTCTGCCTCCATTTTGAAATTTTAATTTGGGGTGCATTTGAGTATTTGAATCATTTCAAAATTACTCCAAATTTTATATGTAAACTTGAAAAACTTTGAATACTTAAGTGGACCCTTATAAAATAATCTTCAACTTTGCTTTTTGCCTCAACCCCAAATTCCACATGGATTTTGAATTAGTCAAAAGGGTCAAAAAGGACTTTTATAATTTGAATTTGAATTCAAATTTGATTTGTCTTCCTTTTACTTTAACTTTGATTTTTGACCAGTAACATGGCCCATTAGGGTTATTTGAGTCAAATGAC